GTGCTGTCACCCAGCATAGGGCCACCTGCTCTCCATGCGGCTCCTAACACCATGAACTATTACGTTACAGCAGTGCCACATGTAGCGTGGCGTTGTTCTCTTTCGGAGGCTTGAAAAACCGAAGTGCAAGGTCACGCCAGGGCGAACCAATTAGCTCATGGAGGGCAGCAGACACCCATCCGACAGATGCTGGTAGTCTCGCGTCGAGAGAGACGAATACTGCAGGACAGGCCGTCAGATCACAGCGTGCTGTCTGACAGGCCGTCAGACCGTAGCGAACTGTCGACCGTCGAACTGTCGATCGTTTGACAGACCACAGCCTGTCAAACCATAGCGAGTTGTCAGACCATAGCGAGCTATCGGACCGGCCTTCAGACCATAGCGAGCTGTCGGACCGGCCGTCAGACCATAGCGAGCTATCGGACCGGCCGTCAGACCATAGCGAGCTATCGGACCGGCCTTCAGACCATAGCGAGCTGTCGGACCGGCCTTCAGACCATAGCGAGCTGTCGGACCGGCCTTCAGACCAAAGCTATCGGACCGGCCTTCAGACCATAACGAGCTGTCGGACCGGCCGTCAGACCAAAGCGAGCTATCGCACAGGCGGCCAGACCATGGCGTTCTGTCGGACAGGCCGTCAAATGAGAGCGTGCTGTTGGGCAGCCCTCCAGACAGCGTGCTGTCGGACAGCCCTCCAGACAGGCGTGTGCTGTCGGACAGCCCTCCAGACAGGCGCGTGCCGTCGGACAGGCGGTCAGATAGGCGCGAACCGTCTGACGGCCTGTCCGACAGCGCCATCGGACCCGAGCGCGACGCGACGAGCCGCCCGCGCTGACCGACCCGGACGCACCTCGCCCCAATGGTAGCCGAAGTTGCGGTTGGGGTCGGCGCCGACGCAGCTGGAGCCGGGCGTGCGCGAGCGCGTCTTCCTCCACATGCGTCGTCCTGCGGGCGAGCGGGCCGTCAACGGGTTGCGCTCGGCTGCGGCCGCCGAGCGTGTCAAATTCAGGCGCCGCCGGCCGCGCCGGTGAGCTCAGACACGCCGCGGTGCACCTCACGGCAGGCGGCGTCTCGTGCGTGACGGAGACGGCCCAGGCCACTGGTTACCATGCTGAAGTGCATGGCAAGGTGTCACTTATTTCGTGATCCTGATGCCATTGAATCAGGCGAGTGTGCCACAACGTTGTACGCCTTTAGCCCAAAAACGATTTTTTTTGTAAGCCCTATTTCGTTATGTTTCCTGTCTGCTATCCGACATCACGCAGGCCTTCCCCTCCCCTCCTCATGATTTCCTCGGCAACGTGGCGGAAATCCGCCGTCACGTTGTGTTGGTACTGCGCGGTGCCTCGTGCTCCCTGACACCCGTGCAGCCTGTCAGGGGCGGTCCGGCGTCAGCTACCCGTGTGGGTGTACTCGTAGCCGTCCGGGTTGAGGACCGGTATCATGTAGATGGTGAACGCCTTCAGAATATCCTGCTCCTTGTACGAAGTCGCCGAGAAATCCTTGACCAGGTAGGACACGACGGCCGGCGAAATCCATTCGCGGGCGTGAATGCCTGAAACAGACGCACGATCCTTCACGGTCGCTGCATAGCCGCGCGCGCAGGTCAACGTCGTGTTTTGTAGCGTTCTTTGCCCCGATGGATGCATTACGAGAGATGCTCTGAGGCCATGTGATGAGCATTGGCGATAGTTACGTAATGTTTACGTCTGATCAGTGCGCTGCAGCTACCATTGTGTAATAGCTGGACTACTCTGGTCAGGTCTGTCATTGGTCGGCCATGTCATCGCGAGTACAGCCGCGGGTCTCCTTCGCGGGTCATGGCCCTCGTGCCACGCCCGTCCGGATTGACGCTGCGTCTTGCTTTCACCGCGGCGTCATGAGTTGTGCTCACTCTTGCAGTTGTGAGCGTCGCGCCACGCTGCATTGGCATGCCTCCCATTAAGTGCGTGGGTTACGGTGGGACAACCCGTCCCCGTCCGACCGACCCATCTCACCTCCGTCGATCCAGATCTCGCGCTCTCCCAGGCCGCATCGGATGCCCTTGACGTTGCGGCCCTCGGTGCTGATGCCGATGCTGAAGGTGCTGCAGAGACCGCGGTATTCGTGCTCCACATAGTCCATGTACTGGTGGTGGACGGCCAGCCGGTGGTAAGCCTTCCAGGTCAGCTGGTAGCCCTGGCGCCCCTCGAGCAGCTCCAGGTAGAACGGCGACGGTATCGGGTTCTGGCGGACAATGGCGTCCTGCCGGGCGGCGGTGAGCGGTGGCGTCAGACGCGCCCCGCAGGGCCGACCTCGCCGCCAGACCATCCAGCCGGCGCGCGACGCGGGCCGGGGCTCGCGCTCGCCTTGGCTGCTGTTGAGCTCTGGCAGGATCAGTGGGAGGCTCATCGCTCAGTGGAAGCGCCGCGAGCTTTCGGAGGCGGCGGTGTGCTGTAGCGTAAGCTGCGCGTCATGCATTGTCGCGGCGCGTTCGCGCCAGACGCAGGGAAGTGATAACGGGAGATGAAGGGGAGCTGGAAACAGCGGATCTGTCCACAGAATGGTCTTTGGGAACCCGCTGTTCGTGTCGTTCTGTTCATGATCTGTTGCGGACATTAATGTTTTTTTTTACCTTGCTCGCGCAGTTGGCATCCATCCCCACTAATGCTAACTTGGGCCATTACGTATGTCATTTCGCTTTCGCGCAATCACCAATGATCTGCTCTCTACATACCAATTGCAATGCACGCATAGCGTGCCGTGGTATGAGAGTAAGTTTGACATTACGTTAATTGGTGACCTCTACAGGTCAGCGGCCGCCGCGGCAGCCGGTGACATTTAGCTGGTGGCCAAGGACCAGTTTGCTGTCGAATGAAGTAGGCCATATTTAGTCGTTCGGATGTAACGTTAAATGACGTGCCTCCGCACGTCCAGTTCTGCTTACACAGCGTAAAACAATTGATCGATCCGTTATTTTTAGGGTGCTCGGTATTAATAAGCTCTCCTTGTTGAGCTTTCCCTCTAACCTGAACCATCCCGCTAGGGCGGCAGTTGTCCCATACTACTACCAGCCTTTTCCGGGCTTGGCGGAGCTAGCGCTTGGCCAACCCGGAAAGGAAGCGGGGAGACCACGGCGTGTATCCTAGGGGTGACCTGTGGGTGTTCGTAGGATATATCCAGCGTCTGATCTACACGGAGGCAATACTAAAATGATCGTATCTGAAAACCGAGCTGATAGATGGGGAATGTCCGTTTTTTGCCATTAGGACCCCTTTTCGCACATGGGTCCACCGCCCACACATCGAACACACCCTCTGCCCAGAGCACTGGCCGCGAAAACGCCGAACGTGTGCCTTCGAGTTTCACCCTTCAACGGACTTGGGAAGTGAGGTTACAAGACGCTGCGCACGCATTCGCACACAGTTCCAAGCCTCGTGTCACCTGCAGCTCGCGCGTTTTGAAGGGAAAAACGACGGGACTCTCCACAGCAATGTGGCTAATTTTCGTAGCCATCGAGTGTCATTTCTATTTTCACGTTGATAGGCGGACGGGAAGGAAAAGCGTGACTTGCCATTCCAAAAGCTCGACATCTTTTTCAAACCACATCTTAGTTCTGTATATCTGTGGAGATGTGGAGGATGACGCTGGTTCGCCGATTCAAATGATGTGGCTGTGCCTCAGGATTTAAATGCCCTAAATATCAAGACCTCTGGAGCCCTGCGGCGGTGGCTCGCTCTGACCAGTGCTGCCGCAAACTCATTTAATGAGCACAGCGGCATGCGGGAAGTTTCCCAATGAGGGCACAACTGAAATAATCACTGAAAATCAATTGTAGTACGCCACTGACGCGAGAAATTCCGTCATGACGGAAATGAAATAGCGCGCACTCGATCTTCTTCTTTTTGCGCGTGCCTCGAATTTTTAAATGTCAACATGAAGTAACGCTCTTCTCATGTAAGCCCAAAAATTGTGGAGGGGACGGGCACGTGCTCCCTGGGTTACCACGCGGGTACACCCCTGAATGAGCACTTACTAGAAAGCTTACTAGTAGCTTGGGCAACGCATTAAAGCTTAAATGAATTTAAGTCCTGGCATGTACCTATCTCCCGCTTTTGTTATGATATCAAAACATGACCTCGAAACCCGACAGCATGTCGTCCTCGTATTTTACGTCAAGACAGCACGAAGGGTCCTGACGGACACGAACAAAATATCGATGCATTCGGCTTCTGTTTACGGCGATGCGGTCTGTGGGAATCAACTGCCAGGTGTCATAAGACGCTGTAGTTCGAAGGAGAATGACATTTCCGAATCCAAAGTAACCGAGCTTGAGGGCCAATAGTTTGCGGTTTGCTTCGCCGGGACTCATTTCGAGGTATGACGTCATCAACAACGGCTCACAAAGACGACGGCCCGTCATCTGACAATTGGGAGGCCTATTGGCAGCATTAATGAGGAGTGCACTGTTTGGTGCCTGTGGATCCAGGCATGGCATAGCGTCAGAGACATGTGCCTACGTGCAACGGCAGCATTCAAAAGGTGTGCGCCCGTGCCAAGCTCGGTGTTCAGTGACGAACCCTCGGTGCCAGACCCGCACACCGTGTCCACCCGTGGCGGCCCCTACTGACCTGCACGTTTCCTATGTTGACACCGTAGCTGCCGCCGCTGTCTTTCAGCCGGCGGGTCAGCTCGCTCCTGACGTCGGGGGAGACCATGACGTCCACAGTGGGCACCAGCGGGCTGATAGGCGTCCAGAAGTCCACCCCTGGCGGGCAGCCGGGGCGCGCGGTCAGCCACGGGCGTCAACGCGGCACCGCCGCACCAACCGTTGCCGACGCGTGACTCCGGCACCCGTCGCGCCGTTACGTGGAGGCGATGGTCCGGTGTCCGATCCCGAGTACCTCCTGTGGGACGGCCGGACGCCAGCTTCAGCGCTCACGCTGTGGATAGAGAGCAGCATCCCTCGCAATGAGGCCTGGAGTCTGTTCCCATGTTTGCTGTAAATGACAGGAGCAGTGTGTTGCCGGTGAGGCGCATGGTATGGCGCGGGACGTTCTATCAGCGTGGACGGGACTTCAGAGCCAACGCAGATACAGTCACACGCTCCTCTCACCATTGGACCTGATCAATGCATTTTTGAATGTCCTTTCATGGGAGGTTCACTGGCAAAGCGCATCACTATCACGTATGTCACATCATTATCACATCAGTCACACACTATCACGTAAATCGCGCGCTGTCACGAGTCACGTGGAACGAGCATTGGCTGGCCAGGTCTCACCATTTCAGCCTTCGAACTCGATGGATGTGTACTGTTTGGCCACCTGACGGCCTCTTGGATGTCGAGTCTCTTGAAAGTTGAATGGTGTTGGCGGAGCTGGCCGGTTAGAGTGCGTAGAGAGGATGGGATGCCAACATACAAGCGGCTTTGGCAGGATGATGGCTGAGGAGCTTCACCGGTCATCACCGTGGCAGCACGCCCCATGCTCGCGGGCCGTTCCGTGGCCACTGGCGTGTCGCACAGCAGGCCTACGAAGCTCTTCGTTTCAGAGTGAGATACCGGTCACTGATGATAAGTGACTCATGTTCTCATGTTCGAAGCGTCCTGCCAGCCGGCGGTTGTTATGCTGAGTTCGATTTTTAATGTTTTAGATAAAACAGGCGGTGTCTGCTTGTTTGGAGATGGATGGAAGACAGCCATACGGTCCCCCCAATGGCTTTCATTGAGTTCTGTTGCCTCCGCACCTTTAGATAAATGATACTGCTAATTCAACTTATGTATAATGAATACATCATATTGCTCATTAAATATTGGCTGAATATCTCGCTTCGTTTCCCAAGGGACGTGTCATACTTCGTTTCACGTTCGGGACGTGCTACATGCCACCCAGGGCCACCAGGCAGGCAAGTCAATTACCACCACCGTCAGCACAGAGGGGCCGGACACTGCTTCATGCCGGATATTGCTTTATACCGTTTTCAGACCCCTAACAGTTAATGGTTGGATTCAATTTGGAATGACTTGTTGTTGGGGGGGGGGGGGGAGGGGGCTGACCGATTGGTTATTCGAGAGACTTAGTAAATTCTTAGTAAATATCTTGGGTGGATGTTGATCATAGTGAGCCGTGTCATGCCATGCCTGCGCAGTTCTCACGGTCCAACCTCCGTCGATTCAAGCCACAGCAAACTGCGCCCGAGATATTTTACTGGAGCGGCACTGGCAGCTTCCCGGTCTATTGATGGCGTAATTATCAGAAGTGCTACGTTTAGATCTGCCGTTGAATTTGGACCGTGCGCTTGCTTACATCGTGCGCTGTGGGTTTTTTAGAATAAAAGCCACACACGGCGAATCGATGCGGTCGTGGTTATTTGCAGCACGTGCTGAGGGCTCTGTGGCCAGTTCAGGAGGGGCCCTGACTGTATTGAACGCTTTATCCCAGTTTGGATGGACGTCATGGACGCCACATGCCGGTGGTCAGCTGCTGGGAGGTGCACGAGGTGACGTGCCGGCGCGGTGGGAGGTGGGAGGTGACGTGCCGGCGCGGTCGGTGCCGAGTCGCTCACCTGGCCTGTCCTCGTACGTGCGCAGGAGGTCCAGAGTGCCGTTGCTGTCGACGTTCACGCGCAGCACCTGGTAGCCGGCGTACTGGGCCGCGTTGTCGGCCTGCTCCGTCCGCAGTCTCAGCGCTGGCACCAGGCCCGTGTCGCCGCGCGAGCTCTGCACGTGTACCTGGCCATGCCCGGGGACGGCGGCTGGCGTCAGCAGCAGCAGCAGCAGGGACACGAGCGGACCCATGGTGACGGTGCGGCGGCGCGGCGCACACTGCTCGCTCCGGCGCGGCCCGGTCCGGGCAGAGCTCCTCCGGCCGACCCGCCGGGGCAGAGTAGGTCGGGCCGCCGGTTTCACCACCGGCAGACGAAAGTGGTATACGTGCCGTCCGGGAGGCGCCGTGGTCGGAAGCGCGGGCTCGCTCGGCCCGGTCGTCCGACCGTTCGCCTCGCGGGGCATTACTCAGCGCCCGAGCGCGGATCGGCTCTGGCCCAGTTGACGCTCGTATCGCATGTCGGGAGAGAGTGGTCGCCCGCTCAGCCGGTTCTCGGGGGCGCGGAGGAGTGGCACCCGCGCCCGGCGTGTTTTCGCTCGCCGCGTCTTTAGATCGCAACACTGACCCGGCAGAACGGTGCGCCGGTCATCGCGCGGGCCCGCTTAACTCTCAGTTCCGGCTGGGGTGCTTAGCGTGGAATATTGAACACCGCTGGGAGCTGTTGTTGCGCCCACAGATGATAGCTGTCCAGATACAGAAGCTGAGAAGCCGTCATCGCTCCGTCTTGTCGCGTTCACCTGGCCCCACCGGACCGAGTAAACAACGAAGCTCAGGCCGTGGGTGATCATTACAACTTACCTAATGGGCAAAGGGAAGGGAGAGGGTCTTGACGAACCGTTACGACGTGTTACAGGGAGGTGGGGGGGCGAGTGCGCTGTTCTTGTACGAAGCAAACGATATACAGAGCACTTTCAACTATTGAATCATGTTGTGTCATGCCTCGTCGTTCCGTTCCTATAATTGCCAAGCCGTGCGCTTACAGTGGGACGCGGATCTTGTGTCTACCAACAAAACTAAGTACAGCAGCTCTGCTGCCTTCAGGGTAGGGTAAAGACGGTGAATTTTTCGTGCCTTTCCACGAATCTTGATCGGAATTTAGAAAGACACTGACGTGATGCGCTGTAGTTGCGCACGAAAAAATCCGAACTGAATGCCGCCGGTGCGTCGCGTTCACGGATGTCAACCGTGAGTGCAGCCGGGATGTACTTAGTGGTATTTGATGTATTCACAACAGACCCATGCGCGGAAGAACCCATGTTCCGATTTCAAGCCGATCAAGCCGTTCCACTGGAGTCAGTTTCGTGTACGTTACGAATTATGACGGCACCGCAAACATGTTCACAAATATACTCTGACCTCATTCGATTAGGTCAGCATAACCGGCGGGCTTGGCCGTCTGTGCTTTGCGCGGCACTTAGCGCAGTGCCGTGCATGGGGTGTTACGACACAGGAGCTCGATGATTGATTATTTTGGCATCTGCATTGGAAGCGTCCTGCCCAGATAAAGGAATTTCCGGTGCTAGCGCGCCACTGCTTTAAAGGCTTGTTTTCCCAACTTTGATCAATAAATGTTATATCTTGGCTCAACCTTGTTCATGTCCGTCAAGTAAGGCCTTTAATTCGTATTCAAACTCAGCGTCGAGCTCAGATATCCCCAGATTCCCTCTTCGGCCAACCTCGTTGAGTTATCCACAAATATGCAGTCGTGTTTTCTGTATGCCATCAAGTTTAACCTGTATAGCTCACAAGATCAAATTTTTGGTACCCTGGCATTCATTCCTTCGAAACCCCAAGAAATGAATGTTGTATTAATGCCCGTGATGTCCACTTTCGTCATACCTGGCAATGCCTTTAAAGGGTCCATATCCATGTGCATGAGAACATGCTCCAAAAGTGATGATATAGCAGCCCATTAAGGTGCCGCATTTTCGATTTTTTATCGCCTAAAATCTGTAAACGTTGAAGGATAGTTTGCATGCGATGTTTTTGCACCATTGCTATGTAATAGAAGTTTAAGTAGCATTGCAAGTTGAATGTACTGAGCTGGATATTGAGGCGATGTAGGTGCGTTAAGTTTATGCCTCGAAGCGTTGTTTGTATTCATTTAAGCACATGATGTTTGCCTGCACCATTTTGTTTAAGAGAGCGTAAATTAAAAGACATCGTTGCTCATAATGTTTGGTTTTGGCTTTGACGCGACGCGACCGACCCTATTGGCTACATTGTCGGATGCGGCCTCACAGCTGTGCTCGCACGAATTATAAACACCGCGATGTCAGAAGCGTTCAAGGCTGTTGTCGTCGCGGCCGAGCTGAGCAATGTGAAGCTAAGCATCAGATAACCTGTCGAACACACTTTAACTCCGAATCTGATCGTCGATTTTCCACATCAGCCTTTTGCTGCGGCATTGTATCGGCTGCGGTGGGAGTGCTCCGCCCAGGTCACTGCTCTCCGAGCGATCTCACTGCCGACCGGCTGTCTGGCGCGACACAGGCAGCCAATGCATCTCGAGCCCCAGTCCCGCCGCGAGCTTCAGTATCGGCAACCTGGAAATAGTAATCTTGAAAGTGGTACCCAAATCTTAAACTTATTTGAAAGCTGTTTTATGTTACCGTTTTAAGTGAGATACACCCGAAAATTCGACATTTTCCCTCTTGCGCTATCTTCAGCCCGGTTTGACTCGACCTTTTGTCGGGCGCTCAAGCTGAAAGTCCCCACCTCACCGCCCGCCTCTGCACGATCTGCAGTCGCTGAACTTTCTCCGTGACATCCGCATTGCTGCGAAACCCCATCCGCCCTTCAACCCCAGGCCAGCGCCGAACTCCCGCACTTGAAACACCGTCAAAACCCACAGCTGCCAGGCCGGGGTCTGAACGCCGTCAAAACCCACATTCTGCCAGGCCGGGGTGTGAACACTGTCAAAACCCACATCTGCCAGGCCGGGATCTGAACACCGTCAAACCCACATCTCCCAGGCCGGGGTCTGAACACCGTCAAAACCCACATCTGCCAGGCCGGGGTCTGAACTCCGTCAAAACCCACATCTGCCAGTGCGGGATCTGAACATTGTCAAAACCCACATCTTGCCAGGCCGGGATCTGAACACCGTCAAAACCCACATCTGCCAGGCCGGGATCTGAACACTGTCAAAACCCACATCTGCCAGGCCGGGATCTGAACACTATCAAAACCCACATCTGCCAGGCGGGGGTCCGAACACTGTCAAAACCCACATCTGCCAGGCCGGAGTGCCAACACTGTTAAAACCCAGGTCTGCGAAAACCTAGTTTGGGACCGGAACTGTCCACGGTTTGCATGTAACGTGCGAACATGTGGATCGCCACCTCCAGAGCTCGGGAACATGACCTGAGGTCTTCAGCTCGGAGACGATTTAAGAACTGTGATGTGACGGCTGTGCGTGCGCGAATGTGGGCAGCTGACTCCAGCGCACCGCCGAGCGGCGGTTTGTACGCGCTTAGTCGGTTGTGACGTGTCCCTCCTTCAGCTTGAAAGCGACACACCGAATGCGATGTGTGATGCTGGGTGTTTCGTATTCAGTATACAAATGCAGCGCATCACCATTCGGCCTGTCAGCGCATTCATCCGGAGCGCCGCAGGGAATAGCCGCCGTGTGCTGTGTTTTCCATGCCCGTGTAATATGTTGGTTGATTGCGTGTATTCTTCATTAATTAGCGCCAAATAGACACCTTCTGGACTCAGTCTAGACAGGACGGAGTCTGACCTGAATAGTGGTAAGGGCAGAGGCCAATGAAGGACGTTGGACTTGGCCGGTTAGAATGTATGCCTTATAAGAGGGATGAGGAATGGTCTTCACGTCAAATCAGGGCGCCAATTAGCAGGTTTGAGATCATCAACGTAAGTCGTGAAATAAGGCTGAATCACAGATGCTTGCGTGATGTAGTTGTTTGATTTCTTATTGCGCTACGGGTTTTCAAAGCGGTTGTACGCAGTTCATCTCAGCTAGTTGTGCGATGCATGTTCTGGCCATTTTTGAGGATTTCCACAGTGATCCCTTATTGTCGTCCTATATACAGTGGTGTCAACCATCCAGCGAGCCAATTTGACACCTTGACGTAAAAAGTGCTTTCGTCTGCGATGTTTAGTAAGGCCATTGGCGGGTCTTGTGGGATCCCCAGCCTGTTTTCTGCATAACTTGTTTTCTGGGAAGCCTCTTGCAAATGGCCCATAAAAGGGCAGCATCAGGCCTTTCTTTTTGCAAGCTCATTTCATCAGCTGGCTTGCGTTGAGAGCGCATGCAACTCGCTTATACCTTAAGCGTTGCAGTAAGCCACCGCGGCTATTTATGCCGTCGTATGGGCTCAACTCGGGGTGGTTGGTGGTATTAACGTACCTGCGTGGGTCACTGTATATGTATATATATATATATATATATATATATATATATATACATATATATATATACATATATATATATATATATATACATATATATATATATAAGGTATATATATATATATGTACATATATATATAGGTATATATATATATATATATATATATATATATATATATATATATATATATATATATATATACATATGTTTGTGTAAAGAAAGAAATGCATTGACAGCGATTGCGTGCTAGCGTTAACGCGCGCTCGGATGAGGGTCAAATTGACCCTCCCCCCGAAGGTTTTTCCAGAATGGCTTCCGAACGGCACGGCGTAGCCGCGCCAAATTTTGCGTGGCTGTAGACAATCAATCAAATAGCGGATCGTTTGGCATAACAAATTTTGATGCACCTTGTAAGGTCGCTGACCTATAACTGGTCAAAGTCAGGATATGGTTTCAGCGGTCATTTTTTAGGGAATCGTTTCATTCTGATGCAACAACGGAGTGTTAGACGAAGACACACATCTCTGAGATGCTTTCGTAGGCAACAAAAATATTGAATGAGCAAACGACGTTGACCCAAGGGTCAGGTGTGAAGGTAAGACCAAGGGTCAAAACCAACCTGTTTTATTGCTCTAGGGCTTGCTGTATGGGATGACTCCTGGTGCTCATTTCGAATTCATTGATAGCAGGAAACGCATTACACATCTTCCATGGCCTTTTCAGAGGTCAGAGTAGGTCCTTGACTTAAAAGGACTCAGGTCAACATTTTGTTTTTAGAAACATATTGTGTGGCGTTATATTTGTCGCTTATCCAAGTGCAAAACTCAGAGC